AGCTGTACACAGTGGGGCAACACACGTGTAAGCTCCAGGCCGTTTGCACTCCATTCACGCCCCAGTTGAGGCCCTTAAGCGTCATTTGGATGTCGGAGGTTTGAAATAGTAGTAGCTCGTCTCCTTTGGGCTCGTGAATGCAGAGACCACCTCTGCTGACGTCTCTCCGAGTTCCTGCCACCCAATCTGGTGGGCTGGCCAGAGGGCTGCCCTCTGCTGCCGGGAGCCCCGAGTGAGAACTCTTGATTGTTCCCTATTCTGACCAAGAAAAGGTGCACAGGGCCCTGTCAGCGGCTTCTTAAGAACCCATTGTCTCGGTGCTGGTGGTTGTAGGGCGCAGAAGGAAGAACCAGTCTCCCTTTCCCTCAAATCAGAAAGCTGTGAGTCCCTCTCATGTTTCTGTACAAACCCTTTTACTGCTTCTGGAAGTTGGCATTCGGGCCACATTTTTGGGTCAATTCCCATTTTCCTTGAGTTTGGTGCACAGGGCAATTTCCTTAAATGACAGTGCTTTCCCTCCCGGGCTTGTTTGCCGTTGTTGAAACATCGTGTCCGCCCCTGGAAGTGCTGGCCTCCAGGCCACAGAGGCTGTCTGGCCTGCCGGTGTTCGCGCCCGCTGTAGTCTTTCCACCCTTGAGTCACCTTGGCTGCTATGACTGTCTCTGCCACAAATGATTGGGGTCTGCCACGGGTGACGCTCTGGCTCTGTGCCCCAGGGTGGTGAGCTGAGGTGGCAGGCAGGCATGTACACAGCACTGAGGTGACCCCTCCTGATCTCACTTAATGCAACTCTGCCTTGGTTTCCCCATCGAAGGTTCTTCAAACTCCATGAGAGAAAGTGCGAGCCCATTATCATGACAGTTCCCAGAAAGGTGAGTGCCCAGCTCTCTCGGTCATTCCGGTTCAAGTACAAGTCCAGGCCCCTCTTCTTCATGACCTAAGGGCTCCCCACAACCTCCCTTGCAGTCGGACCTGTTCCAGGACGACCTGTACCCAGACACGGCAGGGCCGGAAGCGGCGCTGGAGGCTGAAGAGTGGTTTGAGGGGAAGAACGCCGACCCGATCCTCATCTCCCTGAAGCACGGCTACATTCCAGGCAAGAACAGGGACCTCAAGGTGGTCAAGAAGAACATTCTGGACAGCAAGCCCACAGCGAACAAGAAGTGCGACCTGATCAATGTTCCCAAGAAAGCCGCAGAGACAGCCAGCGTGGTAAGCACCTGAGGGAAGTGCCAGCCGGCCTTGTCCCCTTGAAAGCCCTCTCCTGCCTGGGGCATCAGCTGTGGGCAGGCTGTGACGGACGGTGGGGTTTCCGGAAGTGGCGATGCATTCAGCGTAGGTGCTGAAGCCCAAGCTGCCCTTGGTCACCCGGCACAGTGGCACAGGCCACTCGTTGGCTTTATTAGCTCCGTTTACTGATCAAAAGCACAGGAGGTGGCTGTTCCCACCTGCCTCTCAGCAGGCATTGGAGCCTCCTGGCTTTTTCCCGTCGTGCCCTAAAGACAAACCCATCTTTGATTTTGGGGGTGGGGGGCGATACAACATCATGAGGGGCGGGGGGCCCCTGATGCTGAGAAGCGTAGAGTCAGCTGGAGATGGGGCCAGACAGGATCGGGGACTCCTGGGAGGGAGCCTACTCTGGCCGCTGGAAGGAGTCCCCCCTTCTCCCATCACATGGGCCCCCTCCCGGTCAGGCTGAGCCATGGCAGGTGGCCTGGGTGGAGGGCCGCCTGGGTGCCAAGGCCTTGCCTTAGCAGCTCTCCGCGATGCGGAGCTGCGCACGGATCTTGACAGACGTCCTTCCTTCCACCCCGCCCTCCCGTTTGTGTGTTTTCTTAGCAAAACGACGCCAAGCTGGATGAGATTTTGAAAGAGATCAAATCTATAAAAGACACAATCTGCAATCAAGACGAGCGCATTTCCAAGTTAGAACAGCAGATGGCGAAGATGGCGGCCTGAGGGCCCTGCCCGCCGCCCGCCCTGCTCAGGAGCAAGGGCCGGCACCCGCGGCTGGTGGTGGGTGTGCTCCATGGGAGGGCGGGTGGCACTGCTCTGGAGACGCCACCTCAGACCCGTTGACCAGCTGGGAGGCCGCATTCCCGTGAGAGCCCCGAGCGCAGGAACAGACGGTGACTTCAAAGCCAAGCTCGGCCTCAAAAGCTTTTTTGATGTTCTAAGTGTTACGTGACTTGTTGAACTTCTAAAAATCCAAAAAAGAAAAAAAAAAGTGCTACTTTAAAACAAAAAGAAATCCCATATTCTGAAATTTTAGACAACAAACCAAGTCTGATCCAGTGTCGTGCCCAAGTACCTTTTTTTTTTAAATGAATAGGGACCAAGGCCACATTCTTTTTTATATTTCTTCCTGTCTCTCTCGCTCTTTTTTTTTACTATTGCCAAAACCAAAAGTAGCTTCCCAACCCCTTTGTAGGTTGCTACTTTGCAGTATTTGTGTGTGATCTCCCTTTTTTCCCCCTTTAATTTGAAAGGGACAGCACTGTGTATGTTTTTAAACTAAATGGAGATACTATTTTGTATAAATGTTCTTCTGAGAACAATCAGAGCAGTAGCCACGTCGTGCTGGCTCCCTGCCAGCACCAGCCTGGTCACCTTCACGTCTGAACATGTGGCAGACGTGAGAAGTCACAGTGGGTCGATAGCCCACCCCTCTCTTCTCTGAGTACTCTGATCACAGATGTTCGGATCCTGTCGTCTGCCTGGCCTCGTCTCTTTCTCTCTCCTTCCCTCTCTCTCCTTCTCTCCCCCTCCTCCCTCCCTGAAATTGAGTGGCCGTATTGGAATGGAATTTTGCTTCTTGGGCATCCTGTATTTCGGATGATTATAACCTGCCCTAAATTAGCACGTGTTCTTGAAGTTTTGTTACACGCAAAGGAGACTGCTTGCTTCTGTCCTGTCGAACCTTGTGTTTCAGGTTCTGGCCGATACTTGACAAGGGTGCCTGGGACCAAACATGGGCCTGGTATCCGGTGTCCCTCCTTGCCCGTTTCAGCAGCTGACCTCCCTCTTGAGGGCAGTGGTGGGGCTCTAAGGCTGCCACGCCTGTCCCGGGAGACGATCCTACTGCCCTGGGGAGGAAGTGGCTCTCCCTTCACCCACAAAGCCCTGAGTTCTGTCCTCTGCCTCACAGAGGAGAGGGGACGTGTCTCAGAATCTGCGGAGCTTCCACGATTTGTCCTGGGAACGTGCAGAACCCGCTTGGCTGCAGAACCTGTCTCAGGGTTCCCTGCAGTTAGCCCTCCCTCCCTGCCTGCCAGCCCTTTCACCCCTGAGAAGAGGAGGCCAGACTGTGCCGCCGGGTATCGAGACCGGGTGGATAGCCTGCGAAGAAACAAGATGCGCGGCGCACAGGCCCTAGCTACGCTTTGAGCTCATCAGCAAACATATCCCTTGGTGCCACTGCCCAAAGGCTCCAAGCCGAGGACCAGAACGCAAATGAGCTCTGGCCGCCGGGCCCTTTGGGTCGACTAAACAGCCAGTTTCTGACTCTTGTACTGCGTCCGGGAGAAGCAAGCTGTCAAAAAGGGCTGAGCCATCAAACGAGAAATGTCTAGTGCCACGGGGACCATGAAGGGACTCTTTAGCACACACGTGCTGAGCTAGGGACTGGGCTGGCTGGAAGCGTGTTCAGGGTATCCAGGGTGCAGGGGTGGGGTGGGGGTGGGGAGGAATAGGTGCTGGACAGGGCCCAGCCAAGCCGGCTTCGTGTCAGCATAGAGCAGCTTAGGTCCCTAGTCCTTGACCGCTGTCGACACTGCCCCGGGCATCGGGACATCGGTGCGGTTGCGTGTGCGTGTGTGTGTCCATTGCTGAGGTGGGTGACGTGGTGTGGAGAAAAGAGTAGTTAGGGTGACTTCTGTTCAGACCCGTTGCTGAAGACCCAGGAAGCGACGTGAGGTGCTGACGTCAAAGGCATATGCAGTGAAGGAGCCGGTGGGGGCCTGCCTGAGGAAGGTGACTGCTGAAGGAGAAGGCGGAGGAGGAGGATCGTCACCCTTGTCTCAGGGGTTAGCCCGTGAGATATTTAATGAATGGATGTCTGGGGAGACTCAGATGAATCACTGCCTGGAGCATTATGGGTTGACCCCCCCTCCCTTCCCTGTTTTGTCTTGTGTGTGTGTTTAAAGCCGTGCTATCCCAGAGGAGAACCAGTGACTGACTCCCAGATCGGCTCTTATAGAGCGACCACCCTTAAGCTGTCAAAACACTTGCTTCCATCCTCAAAGATAAAAATCATTGATTACAAAAAAACACAACTGTGTGTGGGTGTTTCTTTCACACCCAGCGCGCCGCCAGGTAGCCTGCCCTTCAGGCCCGTGACTCAGCGAAGCTGGCCTGGCCAGGCGGCCCTTTCCGCTCTGAGGGTAAGTACAAAGGAAGTGGGGGCTGGGAGCAGAGCCCTGAAGCAGACGTTGCTGTCTCCCACCCTCACCAAGGCAGCAGCCCCCTAATGCGGCTCATCTTGAAAGGGGGATGATTATTTCCTAGAAAGGAGAAGATGGGGGAAGACCCCCACAGGTTTCCCCCTCACCCCCAAGGCGTCCATCACCACCAGGGTGCCTGCTGGAGCCTTTCTGCACCCCTGCAGGCATAATTTGCACGGCTCCTGGCTTGCTGCGACTTTCATTCTAGCATAAGGTGCAGGGTAGCTTGGGTGGCATGGCCCCGCTGTGGCCCCTTTGTGCATTGAGATAATGTCTCGGGACCTGGTGCTCCTCATGGCTTGGCGCTTCTAAAGGTGCACACCCGATGAACGCTTGCCATGAAGCACCCCCACACACACCTCCACCACCCTCCCCTCCAAATATTGTAGTCAGCAGGACAACGGCATTGGCGGCCAGCTTCCTGGTCTGCCTGTGGGCACAGGAAGCAGACGCCAGCGGGTGGCTCCTCTGGACCTGAGGGGGCCAGAGTCAGGGCTGAGCCGCGTGGAGCTGGTGTGTTTACAACTGACTTGCCTTCTGGCCTCAGCTCCCTTGACCCTGTGCCAGGAGATAGGAAGGCCACCATGCCAGCCCCTGCCAGACCTAGGTCTAGAGAGAACTTGAATTTAAAAAAAAGACTTCCTTTGCTATACTTGGCATCCTGCGTCCAGAAAACCTTTCTGTTGCTTCTTCAGAGACTGTTACCCCTAAGAGGCCTTTTCCTGTGGTCACGTGGAGACATTCACAGACTCGCCGCCGGCATGCGCCTCCCATCTGGCTGTCCCCGACGGTCAGACTGTGAGACTCTTCAAAGAAGGTGGGCGAGCGGCGGGGAAGGGCCCATGAGAGCCTACACAGATCAGGACCACCTTCCTAGTCCTCCTGGTGTATCCAGAGGCTTAAGTGTTCTTTCTTCTTGACACGCAGGGTCCCCACCGCTGGGAATTTGATGCCATGGGGAAGTGGGTGATGTCCCTTTCCGGGGAGGTGGAAGGAGTCTGCTGTGAGCCCCTAGCCATAGTGTGCTTTGAAGAAGCTGGCCCAGCTGGAAGTTTCTGGAAAGGCGGGATGGGAGGTGGGAGTCGTCTTAGTTCCTGGGTGGAACTATGGGGGGACAGCCCCCAGCGAGTTCAAATGGGGGGTTTGGGTGAGGACCCCAGCTCCTGTGTCAGACTTCCCAGGAAAGGACCTTCCGGAGCCTCTCCAGCCCGGCCCCCGGTGAGCCTGGGCCTCAGCAGACAATGAAGCCAAAGGAGTCCACTGTTGGCTGTTCCGTCAAGACGGGGTAGACACAGGAAGCCCGAGGGACCGTTCCTTTTGGGGACCAGCACTGCACCCTTCAGTTTGTTTAGATTGGACGTTTCTTCAGACAGATGTCAAAGACGTGGATGAAAGGGTGGCCTGGCGGGTTTGGGGAACACTAGGGAGATAGGACCCTGGCAAGGGCCCAGTGGGCAGTTGTGGGCATGGACACGGCTCTGGGCGGTTTAGAAGGGCAAGAGTCAAGCAGTTCACTTGACTGGCCCAATGCTACCCATGTGCTGGGGCCTCGAACAGCAATCTCATTCCTGCCTCTCCTCGGTCACCCTGCCGGCTGCCTTAGCGGAGAAGATTCCAGTCTTCGCTAAGGGCCATACCTCAGTGTAAAGAACGCAGAAATCCTCATAACTGCAGTAGACAGCATCATGATCCACAGAAAAGATTGAGGTCGTTGGGTTTCATTGTCCAATGTCCAGGGAGACAGCAGGAAATCAAACGCAGATTGGATAAATCTGCCGCTAACCACACCCCCAGCCCCACAGCCGGCAGATTGATTCCAGCTGAAGCTGAATCTTCACGGAGCAGAAAGCCTCGTCTTTCTCCTATGGCTCGGCAGGTGGGTTTGAATTGCCCACCTTGTGGTGAGCTGTCGGATGCTAGCCACAGGCAAGCGCACCTGACCCCAGCCTTGATGTTTTGCACCACCTTAGGCATGCGGAAGCTGGACAATGACCAAGGAAGATAAGGGGAAGAGTTGACGCATTTCAATTAAGATGTTGATGAATATCAAATAGGCCCTGGACTTGCAGAAGGACAAACCGATCTGTGTTGGGAAAAGCATGGCCGAAAGACTTCCTGAGAAGCAAGGTTGGTGAGACTGAGTCTCGTGTCCTTAGGACACGTCGCAGGAGAGACCGGTCCATAGAGAAGGGGCATCAGGCTTGGTAAAGTAGAGGGTCCATGACGAAGAGGGAGGCCCTTGACGAGATGGCTGGACACAGTGGCCTCAAAGGTAACGATCAGGATGGCTTAGGGCGGGGCCGTGGTTGGTTCTGTGGTACATCAGGTTGCCATTAGTCGAGGTCCCCTGACGACAATCCTGGTGAGAAACAGAAGCAGCCATGGGGTTCTAACTACTGGGAGGGGGGGTGGGGGGAGGCTGAAGGCCGGGCACAGAACAGGACAAATGCCAGATGCCACGAGCCTGCCTTCCCTCGGGGCTCTGGGGTCCCCAACCCTGGGATGTCTCCTAATCTAATCGCCTCATCCCATTAGACAGCCTCTCCTCACCCCGGTTTTCATGGGTTCGGAAACCCACCGGCACCACAGAGTGTGTGATCCCAGAGAAGAGGGTAGCCGCACAGGTTGACCAAACTGGAAAGGGGATGGTTCCAGACCCTGAGGCCCGCCCCCCACCCCACCCCCGCCCCCCAGCACTTCAGCAACAAAATCCAAGCTCCCAGCTAGAATGATGAGCTCTGAGAACGAGGAAGTTGGCGCAAGCTTATTTCCCTTCCGAGGTAGCGTGTGGGCTGGAGGAGCTAGGCAAGGCAAGGTCGTGGTTACACCCTCCTGGGATGCTACCTGGCCCCCAACTGCCTTGAGACTGCCACAAAATGCCACGTCATCCCATGTGGGCAGCCACCAGACACCCCAGCTCGGCGGGGGGCGAGGAGGGCTCTCTGCTCCACTCTCTCCAACCCTTGGCTCCCTTGTTCCCTTCCACCGCAGTGTTTCCTAGAAGCAAAGCTGGCTGGGTCTCTGGGAAACACACTCCCTCGATCCTGCCCGCCTCCCCGTCCATCCCCCTGATGCCATCCTCCGGGGCCCCTGTCCCCTAGCCTGTGGTGCAGCCCACAAGGGACGGATGGCTTGACATTCTCAAGTGGTTGGGAACACTCATTTGTAACACGCGAAGGTGCACATTTCAGTGTCCCTTCAATGGAAGGTCATTGTCACGGCCGAAGTCTGGAAGAAGGATGGGGCCCTCGACCCCGGAGTCAGGAGTACAGTCTCAGGGGCCCTCTCCTCCAGGGGTGCTGTGAGTCAGCATGGGCTAGGTGCATGGCTGCTCGGCACTGGCAGGGCAGAAGAGTGACAAAGCCCGTGGGCCCCACCACGCCACAGACTCACTCCGCCTTTTTAAGAAAGGAAGTA